TATATCACAGACAATTTAAGGTAACAACTCTTTGTATGTCACACCAAGAGGATGTAAAAGCAGTTTCAAATTCTGATGAATAGCACAGACACATACAGAATGTGTTCCTGAGGCACCAAAAGTAATACACCATTTAGGTCGCAAAACCTTGAAAATCCTATTTTTATTTCTGGGCTCTTGGTTTTAAAGGCAACAAACAATTCCTTTAAATTACATAAGAGCAAACGTTTTTGCATGTGGACATTTTTCTTTATGCTTACATAGTCCTTTTTACCAGGCATTATACGGCTATGTTCATCGTCTTCGTAAAAGGTCTTGACCAGTTGAACTGTTACATCAGGAAGAGCTTTTCCTAATTTAGGATTAGGCATGGTTAAAATACCTTTTTCTAATGTTAACTTACGTGCAGTTTGAACTACATAGTTTGTTACATGCAATGTTTCAGATACCTTTTTTATTGACCAGTCTGTTGGAGCAAGTGTCGCAAGTTGTACTTTTTTTGATGTTGATGGAGACTTTGTAATTTTGTTAGTTAACAATACCATCATGTTATCAAACAAGTTTGTTTTTTCCATATACTTATTATTAAAACTTGACTGTTCTTCAAAACTTTCTTCTGATATATTAAGGGAAATGGCTACCTTTTTTTAAATGGAGGTTGTTAATGCTGTCAATTTTCATTTACCTTCTCTGATTTTATCTTGTGCAATCCTTTGACCTTAATTGGAGATACTCCGGCAGATGCAAAGTGTGTATCTACACTTTCTTTTTTATTTTGAATGGATCTTTTATTAACAATATCAAAATCTTCATCATTTTTATTTTCACTTATACTTATTGATAAACATGTCATAACTTTACTTCGACAGGTTGGACACAGTTTTTTTCCAGGTATAAGATTTAAACCTATGGTTTCTGCTTCTAACACAGTATGCATTGTAATCACACGTAGAGATGCTTAAAAAGAAAGTAATTACATTACTTAAATAACATTAATTATATGTATTATGTAATTATATTACTATACAATTTGTTATATTAACAACTATGACTTATTAATAATGATATTACCTAATGAAATATAAATATATAAATTTTTTCCTCTACACACCTTTTGGTGACTCAAAAATGGATTACAGCAACTTTTCTGATTACCCTCATATCTTACAACTAACATATCATGATGGTGTGTGCATATATTAATAATTTGTTCTTGTTTCAGATTTGTTTATTTTTCAAGTAGCTTACGATCATTGCTGTCAATATCTTCAATCAGATTTCTTTCTTGAGTATATGATTGTTTATAACAAGCTCCATAATTATTTACAAAGCAGCAATTAATTTTGTTATCCATATAAAAATATAATGAGGAATCTCTGTCTAAACATTTAATATAAGAAATCTTAAATAATCTTAATGTCCCTAACAAGAAAAGTACACTTGAACACAGATAATATCATAACAATATGTATTTATAAAGAACATATTGCTTGAAAAAGTAGCTATTAGTTTAATAGACATGTTTTAAATGCCTAACTATCTACTAATTATTGTAAATTCTCCATTAACTACTTACAAAAAGTTGTGTAAAAGTAAAAGATAACTAAATATAATTTTATTTAGCTATGTAACTTAACATGGTAATGTTAATTAGACATTATTATATCATTTTATTACTTTTTTTATTGATGATAACAAATGTTTTATTACAACAAAACAATCAACAACAAAAGTTACATAATATTGTTAAATTTAATGACATGATATTATGTAATGAAAATGACATTATTATTATGTAATGAAAGTAAAAAGAAACAAATTTATAAAATGTTCAACTATGTTTTGTAATAACTTTGTAAATTTTTTACAAAGCTGTTACAAAACAAAAATAATTGTATTTGTATTCAAAATATATATGCAATTTTTTTTTTTTGCAAAATATCTTTAGAAAAATTTAAAAACTAAAACATCAATTACTCCTTGATAAAACACAAGGCCAAATAAAAATTGGTTCGCAAAGTAGATATATGCTTAATATTTAAAATAACGAAAACCAAAACTTTTTTTCATCAGTCAGATTTTTTTTAGAACTATAGTTGTCAATGGCCTTTTTTATTGTCATTAAGAAGTGCGTTTTGTGGATCTAAAAATAAACTATATTTTATTGTTTTGAGAGATGTAAGTTTATGATTTTCAGATTCAGCAGGTTTTGAACTCCTTTGGTACCAAGTTTTAGCTTCGCAACATTACTTTAAGTTAAATTACATAAGAGCAAACGTTTTTGCATGTGGACATTTTTCTTTATGCTTACATAGTCCTTTTTACCAGGCATTATACGGCTATGTTCATCGTCTTCGTAAAAGGTCTTGACCAGTTGAACTGTTACATCAGGAAGAGTTCAACATTACTTCAAGTTTAAAGGGTAAGGGATCGTCCATAAATTACGTCACGCATTTTTTGACAGATTTTGACCTCCCCCCTTCCCCTCGTCACAAAATCGTAACACTTAAGCAAGTTTTGTATGAGTCGTCACAAAACTACCAACCCCCCCCCTTCCCCTTGTAGCGTGACGTAATTTATGGACGACCCCTAATGGTAAATTGACATATTTCCGGCTTTATCCCCCCTCTTTTTTCAAGTCAAAAAATAACTAACTTCAAGTTGCTGTAAATCTTAAAGGGTTGAGAATTTTTTGAAAAAATTTTACAGTCTTTCCTAACTTATATCTTTAAACATTTGTGCCAAATTTCAGCGAATTTGGTGATGCAGGGTGCAACCCCTTATTTTTGAGAAATTTTTACCCTAAAGTAAATTGGGATATTTCAAAGGAATCTGTAATGCATCGAATGAGTTAAACTACTGCGTGTTCAGTATAGTTATTATTTTTAAAAACCGTTCTGATTATTTACAGCTGTAAATACTGTAAAAGCTGTACAGAGAGATGATTAAGTATTCAGTTGAATAAAATTCTTTTTGAAATTATGGAAAAAAACAGAGAGGACTGAGAACTTTAGAAAAAACAGAGAGGACTTAGATAATTTAATGAACATAATCCATTCTGTTTGTTTGTTTTCGGACGTTTGCAATAGAAGCTGCAATCACGGAAAACTTGGTACTAGATAAAATGTGAACTGCGAACCGTATACTGCGAACTGAATTTTTTTGAAAACCATTGTCCTATTGGTTGTTAATGATGTAATGTTTTATTTTCGTTAAATAGTTTATTTAGTGGTATATTTTAAAAACTTTAAAGCGAAAAAATTAATTAAAAAAAATAAATAAAAGGAAATTAAGTGAAACTAGACAAATACAATATAATTTTTTTTTTAATTATTTGATAGAATGCCTGCCCAAACCAAACCCTCAGTTGATTTAGCAGCACTCTGTTGCGAGTCAGGCTATAAGATATAAAATAGTCAATGTAGCAGCACTCCGTTGCTAGTCAGTAGCCGTATTCACGTCTTTCCGTTAAACCCTGCGTTAAGCTAACGGCTGGGTTAAAATTTAACGGCAGTTTTTAACACCAGTGTTTAAAAAAATTCGTATTCTCGTGTCCTCCGTTCAGTTAAAATAAAGTTAACGGTAAAATCGAACTCTACAGTTAAAACCGAAAACGGAGAAATTTTCTAGTTTTAATGACATTTCTTGTAGTACTTGATAATTTATTTATTTAATTTATAACACATACAATACAGCTAAGTACTAATATTTTAATTTATTTATGTAATATTTCAGTCTGAATAGTTCAGACCGTCATCAGACGTAAAGTTAAATACAATAAAAATATTATAATTTAATAATATAATTTTTATTGTATTTAATTTTACGTCTGATGACGGTCTGAACTATTCAGACTGAAATATTACATAAATAAATTAAAATATTAGTACTTAGCTGTATTGTATGTGTTATAAATTAAATAAATCTAAAATATTAAAAATGGCATCCGAACAAAATAAAATATTAAATTTCAATAACAGTTGTCTAATAATCAATAACAGCTGAATAAACTGTTTATTATTTGTTTAAACAAGTTTAGTATAAGGCTAAATAAGTTATATTATGTACTATATAATATTTATATAATTAAATCTTTAATTATTAAATCGCTAATGTATTTTAATTAGACATTATACTTTAAAATACATGTTGACAACATGTATACAACATTGCTGTATTAATAATACAGCAATGTTATACAACATTGCTGTATTAATAATACAGCAATGTTGTATTATTATCACGTGAAATACTGAAATCGCTACATTTTATTAATATTGTTTTTAATGCACGTACTATAAAATGCAATATATATATATATATATATATATATATATATATATATATATATATATATATATATATATATATATATTATATATATATACATATATATATATATATATATATATATATATATATATATATATATATATATATATATATATATATATATATATATATATATATATATATATTGTATGTATATATATACATATATATATACATACATATATATAAATGTATATGTATATATATATAATATAAATATATTATATATATATATATTTTATATATATTACATATATATATATATATATATATATATATATATATGTATATATATATATATATATATATATATATATATATATATATATATAACGTATAAATATATAGATATAATACACTATCATAGTTTGTATATGTATATATATATATATACATATATATATATATACATATATATATATATATACATATATATATATATATATATATATATATATATATATATATATAGGTACGTGGACTGATTTTTTTAAATTAATTAAATAATAGACTATTATATATTATTAGAAAGCCCTCAAATACAGTATTTTAAAGGTGAAAAAATTATGAAAATCGGACAATTCTATAAAAAGTTATAGCGTTTTTAGTAGCAAATTTTCGATATATGGATTTAATGAAGAAACTGGTTCCAAAATTATTTTTTTTCCCACTAAAATTGTTATAACTTTGTCAAATCTTATCCAAATGTCTATACCTTGGTATCAAAAGATAGATGTAAGAGTAGGCTACAAGTTCATATAACTCTATAGATAAAAGGGGTGTCTAGAGGGCCGGAGGGGGTACGGAACACCCTCGTACCCTTTAAAAAATACAAGTTTTTCACACGAAAAAGTGTTTTTCTGATAAAATATATTATCTTTATACACAAAAAATTGTTCTAATTTGCTTCCATTCCATTTCCAAATATTAGTGGTCTATTTTAGATTAAAGAGTCGATGTCTTTGTTACGTTTTAACACCCTTGTAGTGAATTGTTTCATTCTCATAAATACTTTAACATAAAAAACACTGATTATATTTTGTGTTAAAAAGTTCAAATTGTAAATTTAAATTGTAAACACTGATTATATTTTGTGTTTAAAAGTTTAAATTCTATTTTCTTTCTTTACAGCATTTAAAAGTGTTGTATTAATTGACTTCATGGCTGGGATGTGTGGCTGGAACACCCTCTGCCTCTCCCCCAGTGTTCTCCAATCTAAAAAAAAAAATTTAAAAAGAGATTTAAAAAAAGGTTTTCAATTTAGTTTATTGAAGAAAAGAAGTTAGTATACAAGATTATTTTACTACATTAGTTAGGGGAGGGGCGTGTGCCACGACCAACGCCCCCCCCCCCCCTTCTACTTATTCACACTTTAAAAAAATGTTTATAGAAATTTAAAAACGTTTTTCAATTGCATTTATTTAAAAAGATAGACATAACTTTACAAATCTTACCACATTATAAGATGTAAGATAAAAATAAGCCAAAGATAAAACAAATTTTATAACTTGCATTTAAAAAGTGACAAAACATTAAATATAATAAATTTATGTCTTGGCTTTTAGTAAATGATATTATTTAAAATTCCAATAATGAAACTAAATAAATCACTTTTAACAATAGACACCACGTGAAGGTAAGCCAGAGCCGTCTATCAAAAATATTTTGCAAGCTACACAACTTGTGGTACTCCTTTTGCAAGCTACACAACTTGCTGCACCATATTTGCAAGCTACACAACTTGTTGTACCATCTTTTCAAGCTACACAACTTGCTGTACCATCTTTGCAAGCTACACAACTTGGGGTACTTCTTTGGTAATTTTTTAATATAATGTAAATATAATTAAAAACTGTTATACATAATATAAACTATTTTCATGTTCAAATATAAATTATAAAAATTTAAATAAAGTAGCATATAAATTATTTTTATATTCAAATTAAGAAAATACTAGTTCTCCTGTTATAACATCAGCAGCAAGCTGTATTTTTTTCATCTTATATTCAACAGCTTCAATATCTGTTTCATCTTTAATCCAGTAAGAAATAGTGTAAATTCTTTCTTGTTGTCTCTTGTTTACTTTTTCTACTCTTCCATCATAAATAACTGTCTTTGAATAGTTGGCAACATACCATTCGTGACAGAGTTTTCTTCCAACAATTCTTTCAGACATAACATCATCTAAATCATCAAGTTGCTTGGCAGATAAGTGTTTATATAAATTCATTATTTCGCTGGTAGTTAATAGACATAGCTCACGCTTTAACTTTCTTTTTTGTTTTTCATCCATTTTTTGACGTTTAAACACCTGTCTAACAGAAATTTCTGTTCGAATTTCATTATGTAGTAGTCGAGATCTCATTCTTTTTTTACGTGCCATGTAAATAGACCACTTTACTACCTTTTCTCTAGACAACTCCTCAAGATTATCGATATAATCTATAGTTTTATTCTTTTTGGATCTTAATTTGCTAGATATATAAGAAATTGTTGCATTGGGGCATCACTTTGGCATCACTAAACATACCAACTAATTCTTCACTATCTATATTGTAAAACCTTGCACTAGCTGTCTCTTTTTTGAGTTTTGCAGTAATGGAAAGAGAAAAATATCTTTTATATTGACGAGTCAAAACTTCATCAATTGCATTTAGACAAGCAGAAGTCATTTCAACAATTTGCTCATCAATGGGGCATAAAGTTGTAATAGATTGTAAAGTATTTGGGGCAAGCGTTGTCCCAAAAAAATCTGTTTTTCTACAAAATAGTATAGCTGGATCAGATTTGCAATAAGTAATTTCTTTTAAAACATTTTTTACTACTTGGATACCAGTGACATGATCAAAACTTGCATCATCAGCTGATACATAAAACTTAGTCATCCAAGGTCAACTTAGAAGTTTACTGAACAGCGCAAGCACTCCCATTTGTTTTATAGCTGTTGCATTACAAAATGCTTCTCGCAGAATCGGTTGTAAACTGAAACATTTTACTGTTCCAGTGGTCAGATAATTTAGAAAATCAGTATAGTGTTTCATAAAAATGAAACAGGTATGGAAAAGAATGTGCAGGCGGTTACCACGATACCGTGGAATAATACCTCGCGGTAGTTTGTTATTGTCTAAAAAATTTACAAAACCTTGTGGATCACTTTTGCCATCTTTAAACCTCATTTTGTTTATTGCTAACACAATTTTTACTGCCATACAATCACTTCCATACAATTTGCAATGTTCCAATTCTAGAGATTTCAAAACTTCGCGACATGAAAAGGCAATTGTATCTAGAGGGTGTAAATGACAGTTTAGTTCATTCAAATTCTTTCCCCAGGTATTACAAATTTTGGAAATGGTAAGATGATAAACCGACGCCCTGTCAGACATTGTGTTGGATATATTTGATATGATTGAACTACGACATTCATTAAAGGGAAGCGAGTGAAAATCTGAATAAATAAAAGCTAAATGATCAACTGCACCACATATATGGCTTTCATAATCAACTGCTGTTCCACCTGGTAACTGGTCCAGAGCAATGACCTGACAGTTGTTTTAGATGTCAGATGAACAGTGTTGATATGAACACCTTGTGTTGTTGCATCGAATCCAAGTGTAAGATAAGAATTACTCATAGCCCATTCTGCTGCCTGCAGTTCTGCTATACTGCCAAGCTCACGAGCCATTTGTTCGATAGTACAACGATGAGGAATGTCCACGAGTCGATAGTACAACGATGAGGAATGTCCACGTGTTAAAGTTAACACCCAAATACTGCCCAATTTTTGAAATTAGGAATTGAATATTACCGGTTGGAACATTGGCTAATAACATGCTACAAATTATCATCCTCATTTTTAAAGGGTAACTCTTATTGTCTTCTGACATATTAACATTTGGAATTTTCCCCTCTTTTATCTGGAAAATATCATTTTCTAATTGAGCAATTAACATTTTATTTGCCTTACCATCATTATTATGTTTTACTGTTATTTGCATTAAGTTTTGTTTTTCTTTTACTGTCAACGCCTTTTTTTTTGCTTTAAGATTGCGAAATAACCGACTGTAATGATAAGTTTTAATTTGTTTTTTTAGTTCTCTAACTTCTGTCCTTAAAGCTTTAATAATTTCTTCTTTCCTTTTTATACTTTTCTTGAATATTTTTAACTTATATGGCATGCTATTGTATTTCAATTTAACTTTTGCTACTTTTATCTTGTAGTCTTTGGTTGAGATAGCTAACTGAGAAGACAAATAGGATAACCTAGTGATGAGTTTAGCTTTTTGGGGGGTTAGTTCTTCTCTAGATGCATGCTTTTTTTTTATTTTCTATGGAAATTTCAGACGAAAACGGTGTGTCATTAACTAGGGGTAAAACAGCCATATGTTCATGGGATGACAGAACAGAAGACCATTTATTCAGAAGTCATTTATTTAAACAGTCAATGAACTAGTCTGATTAAGATCTATTGCCTTTTTCAATGACATGTTTGGTGAATGGTATTCAAAGGGATGATTACAAAATTCAGTAAATTTTGAAAAATCCCTATCATAATTTTTAGCCAATTTTTTGGAAATGTTAACAACATTATAAAGTTTATGTTTACCAGTGTTAAAGCTAAATAACTGATTGACTTGTTTAAGAGTATTAACAATGGACTCACCGTTATTAATGAATAAAAAAATTAAATGTCCATTTTGACAGCGTGTAGGTGTTTCGCCATGCAAAGTAAAGTTTACAGCTAAATCCTTTTTCACTGCATCCGGAAACATAACTCCACTTTTTATTGGATCTTTAAATCCTTTAAAAATATAAATATAAAGAGTTAATATACAATAGTTTTAATTAAAACTTTTGAAAAATAAACAAATATAGATTAATTTGTTAACAATTAATAACATAATAATGCAACATGTAAAAAAAGTACTAAATAATATAGACTTAAAAAATCTCATACATACCTTCTACAAACAAGTAATGGTTACGTAAATATAATATTTAGAAACTGTAAACATAACTTAAACTGGTTTAAAATCAAATAGTTAAACTAGTTTAAAATCAAATAGTATTACTTAACTCAAACAAACAGTAAATAAACTAAAAAAAAAAAAGATTAGTAATTAAGTATGCAAAAGATATTTCACATTAATTAACTCACATTAAATAAAGTACTAGCTTTTAAAATAACTAACCGTAGCAACTAATAAAGTAAAGATCAAAAATAATATAAATTAAACCAAGATATACATGCTAATATTTGATATTCAAGTTATACTATACAAATTTACAAGTGGTAGGCTGGTTAGATCGAACTAAAAATAACAAAAAAAAGTGTATAATTACAACAAAACGCTATGCAATTATGAAAGTAACTATCATAGTTCTGTGAAAGATGCAACAACTTTATTAACATAATGAAAACTAACAGTGAAAATATAAAGAAAATACTTTAATAAACAACAAGCTAACATTAGGAATGGTTATTCACTTTGTTTATATATTAATTACGTTATATTGGTTGTGGTTATATATAAAATATGTGATTTATACTTACGATATCTCAAAAAGGCTTCATAATGTGCAGCAGGATCTAAACAACATGCAAACATTAGGCATGCTTGTATTGTGATTTAAATAATAATCCACAGATAAAGAAGTATACAATCCAAAAATAATAAAAGATGATAATAAGTTGATAAGTTTTATCATATTTAAAAATACTAACAAGTCTTTTGCAAGGAATAAACCAATGAAGTATCTGATTTGTATACTTATTTATATGTTTTGTCTTTATAAAATTGTCAACAGATACTATTAGTTGACAATCCAACAGATACTATTAGTTAACAATCCAACAAGCCAAAGTTTTAGACTGAAGCATAATTCTTCTTTTTTATGTAACATATAAAAACAGATTAGGAATTAATCTGTTTTTATATATTACATTAAAAATCAAAAAATATTCATAAATGATTTATGAATATTTTTTGATTTAAAATAGTTATTATTGATATTTTTATAAAAAAATTAAACTTACTACCTGTTAGGGATGCAAGAAGAGTTCTGTCTTCAGAGCTCATGCTTTATTTTAATCTAATAATAAAAATCAAAATAATACAAAATAAGGATTAATTTTTTTTTTTGTAAAGTCGACCCCCCTATCCGCCCCCGTATTTCGCTTAACAAAAAAAACATCAGAAAAACCAAAATTAGGTACAAAAAGTTCTACACTAATTAAATATCGAAATTTGGCATGTGCATAGAAAATACATGTATAAAATTATCTGAATCATAAAAAAAAGGGGGATCAACATTTCTTCGACTAAAAATTCATGTGAGAACATCAACCAAATTTTTATGCAAAGTTTTTGGCAAAATAATCCATAAAAAATTATACTAACCAAACATATTAGTCATAAAATATCAAGCTTAACCTTTCGTCTTTTAAAAATAATATAGGTTTGTATATGTTTCTGATAAGAATCACCACAAAAAAATGTTTGGCTAGGACTACCTAAAATAAGTAGTAAACTTAGTATAACACTAATTAAACTATCTGCGGAGCTTTATTTTTAGTTGAAATTTGGCATGTGCATATAAAATGCATGTAGAAAATTATCTAAATAATAAAAAAAGGGGGATCAATACTTCCACTACTAAATATTCATGTGAGAACATCAACCATATTTTCACGAGCAAAATAATCCATAAAAATGTTAAGTAACCATACATAAATGTCATATATAAATCAAGATTAGATTTTTCTTCTTTCAAAAAAGTATCTATGTGCATATATGTTTCTAAAAAGAA